AGCTGGTGGAGCTGGGGCTGGGTAGTGTCCTGGTTGATGGCCTGGATTAAATCGGTGGATGTTCGAATTTAATCGGTGGATGTTAAAATCATTAATTATATACAATTTATCAAATTTACCTGTGGAAACTGTTGCGAAAATTGCTACCAAAGCAACGAATAATGTCATCTAAACGAGAGAAATTGAATATTCAATTATTTCCAACAGACTACAAATTCTTTGAACAAAAATAAAATCCAAATAATACTTACAAAGAATTTCATCTTGAGTTTTTTATTTGTGTACTGTCTTTGCAAAAGCAAGATTGATACTATAAAATCTACGAAAATCCGTAATGCTTTTATACTTTTAACAGAGATTATCTGCATTGTGATTATAAATGACCTCATTGCAAATTCAGACACAATACCAATATCAGCTTTGAATGGTAAATGCATCATCGTCATCAGCAATTTCCATTTTTTTTAATTATTCAAAGTTTTGGAAGGAAAAGATTATAGGAGTAAATGTAGTCTAAACATCCGTCGCAATAAATGCTTCACAAAATTTGATAATATTTAAAATGTGAATGATGATAAACGGTAAATTATGGCAAAGTCAAATTTCAGAAAGGTCAGTGCATGATTGAGACGCAGTTATCATTTGTTTATTGAATCGAAAACAAAAACAGTCAATAATTCATGCATAGCATATATGTACTCAATAGATATTGAACATTTCGATCATAGACGTCGGTTACAATGTACGTCTTAATAATGAATAAAAACTAAGTTTACACTTTGAGAAAAAAGACCCATAGAACATCGTTTTACGCAAAAATTATGATTTTCAACCACTTATTTTTTTCTATATACATTTTTGCCAATTTTCTAAAAAAAAGATTGTTCTGTGTCATCAACTAAGTACTTCCAATACAATGCAAATTATTCGCTAAATAAATATGCTGCATTGTTAACGTATTTATTTTTTTCATATACCTATGTATTCTGTGATAATCCACGTTCAAAAGACGACGTCTTAAAATTTGTTAGAATCGTTCGAACTACATGTTAACCCGGCGAAGAGTGCGAAAACTATGAAGACAAGATAAAACTAAAGTCTGAAAGCTTTCATCTGGAGAAATATATTAACCGGTGTTGGTTTTTGAATTACAACATTTGGATTGGCCTTCTGTGTTGAGCTTATTAACAATCATTAAGTTTGGTGACAAAATAACAAAACATTTCATAAAATGTTGTTCTAAAAAGCAACTAAGGAACCGACTATGTAAATAATTTATAAAAAAAGTTTTTTTTTTTTTTTTTTTTTTAATAGAACCATAAAGAACAATAAGTCTACTAAGAAAATAAAAAAAATCCATTTTCAGCTGACGGCTAAAATAATCAGTAAATCTTAATTCAATATCAAGAGCTAAAAGCTAGAGACAAAGTTAAGTGTTTTTTTAACATAAAACCAATCTTGTGTGCATCATTTGGACTTAATTGAAATTTCAATCTTACATTTCCGTAAAACATTGGAAGTTTTTATATTGATCAATAAAAATGTATTGTACACAACTTTTGTTCAAAGAAATGTTGTAGATAATTTTAAGGTTTTTATTCATATTTAAATAGAAATCAAATTGGTTTACATCTGCATTGACTAACATTTTTCAATTTAAGTCGAGTTTGCTAGTGTCAAAGTATCAAAAGAAATAGAATTCCTATATATCGAATTACAGTACTAAGCGACTTAATACTAAATTCGGACGTGTTTTCTAGATGAACGAAATGGTTATTTTGAATTTTTAGAGTTTTAGTTGACATTTGAATAAATACCATAAATTATGTTTGATTTAAGTGATTTTAATTATTGTTTTTTTTTTTAATCACATTTATTGATTGGAGAAATTTTCAATGATGTTTTTCTATAAACTACAATGTTTTCATGTTCATCCAAACATTTCTCTAGTGGTGATGGACATATGCCTGTAAAAAATAGGTAAATTGGTTTTAAAAATTTATCAAACAACTGAAAAGTTAAATTTAATCGTTATAATGCGACATTTACAATTTTCTAATATTTTAATAAATGTAGTATTTACGGTTTTTGTATTAAATGATTGAGCATTTTTTTTTTAAATTTAATATTAGAATTTCGAACTAATAATGTAAAATACAGTTTCTCTGCAGATCTGATCAAATACAAACTAAACAAAAGGTACACTGAGCAAAAATGCAATAATTTACTTTAATTTTATTCATTTCTGCACTCACTGTGGTTTGAACTAATCATTTTTATATGAGAAAAGTCGCAATTAGATTAAAGTGTGATTACTTACTTGATTGTGACGTTGTTGTACGTGTACTTGTTTTCCATGTCCTTGTTGACCGAGTACTGGGGAACCGTGTACTTGTTGTCCGTATACTTTTTGTGCGTGTCCTTGACGGTCACTATTATGATCATAACTGTTATGAGCCGAAGCGATTGAGAAAATTGCAACAATAACAACGAATAATGTCATCTAAACGAGAAATTGGATATTCTGAATTTTTAACAAAAATAAAATCAAAATAATACTTACAAAGAATTTCATCTTGAGTTTTATGGTTTTTTATGAGTCGTTTCTCTGCGAAAGCGAAATTGATACTGTGAAATGTAGGAAAATTCTTAATGCTCCCTAATATCCAAATCAGAAGAGAATCTTGAGTAGCAATTATTGCCGTTTTTTTGTATATTCTAATCAGAATTTATTGTGAATATTTATAACCATAGTGATTATGCTATGATGGTTTGAAATGGCCATATTCCAGTTCATTTCAAATTCGTTTATATCCGCATGGACTAACATTTTTAATTTGGTATGGTCGAAAAATTATTTTTTCTTTTGAATCTGTTGTTTTCATTAATATTCATCTAAGGCGCTTGATACATATGCACGCGTTTTCTCGATAAAATGATCTCATGATAGAACCAGTATACTTTATAAAAACCAAGTTTATATTTTATCTAAATTCTTCAATTTTATTTAAGTTGTTTTTCAATTTTAAATGTATAAATAGGTAATTTTAATAATTATCATATAAATGATTTCACTTATTCCAAAATGATTTAAGTACAACAAAAAAACCAACAAAAAAAAAATGATCGAAATGGTATTCAAATAGATTTCAATTGTTTTTGTTTTGATGTGCCCATTAAATTAGTGCCGATGCGTTTGTGACTGATGTCGTTGAATTGACAAATTTATGTGAAATTTCTATGGCGCCTCAATGATGTGGTTTATAATTGTGACTGTGCGATTCGTGACCATAGTGTGGTCTTTCTTCGAAATGGTGTTCAGGCTTTTTGTTGTAATCATGGTGTGGTTTCTCATGGTATTCAGGTTGTTTGTGATATTCTGGTTGGTGTGTATGATATTCGGGTTTCTTGTGGTAGTCTTCATGATGGGATGGTGGTTTGTATTGGTCGTAGTGATGATGACTTGGTTCATGATGTGATGGTGGCGCATGATGGGGCTTATACTCTTCATAATGGGGTTTATGCTCTTCATAATGGGGTTTATGCTCTTCATAGTGTGGTTTGTGTTCTTCATAATGAGGCTTGTGCTCCTCGTGATGAGGTGGATAGTGAAGTGCTGATGATTGCTTGCCATATTTCTCTGGTATCGGTGATGCCGACACAAATGCCAAAAAAGACACAAAAATAATCTGTAATAATTTGTAAAAGATAAAAGATCAGTTCTGAATTCGTCAAAGTCATGCGTAATCAAATAATAAAACAAACGATTTGACTGATACTTACAATTGATTTCATGTTTGCGTTGTAATGTTAATCTTTGCTTTATGAAATGCACGTGAAATTCAACGATTTGTTTACAATGTTTTAGCTTCAAATTGAGCGAAGTGCTTTAATGCTTTGCTTGGTTTGCTTCAAATGCAACTGATGTCGATTTGTCGATAGCGTTCCTCTTTTATACAAAATTTCATCCAAATGACGGGCCTATATAAATGTATACATTTGCAATGTATGGTCTCCATTTTTCATTTCATTCGTTCCTTTTAAGCGAATTTAAATCTACATATCAAATGTACATATATGCATTAATGCTGGTGCAATTGCTTATTTTGCTCTAAACCGAACACTTTCATCAGGTTCACTCACCCGCAAATACTTATTCAATTAAACCATCTATATTCTTTGCATTTGATTATCGCTTATTTCGTTTTGTATTTGCATTTTTCGCTTGTATATCGCATCAAATCAAGTATGAAAAGTGGCATGGGATTTACCCAAAGATGCTTTAAAGCAAATCATAATTTGCCGACTTCCAATTGAACGCGGTTCAATTTAGTTTGAACATACAAGTGCGGTCACAAATAAGTATAAAAAGTGATATGTAGCAATTCACTTTTACCATCCAAGCATAACCATCGATAAAAACCTGAATATATTATGTGTGCTCTGTATCTATGTGCGACCGATGACGCTAGTGCAATCGCACAAAAAACAACACCAACCAATGCGAATTAAAAGATTGAAAGGAATAAGATAAAGAGGCGACTAATTCAACTAAAGTGGATGATCGCAAATTGACTTGACCGCGCGCACACACATATGCAAAAAAAAAAAAACAAATCGATCTCATTTTCGGTGAGTTTTCATTCTCTTCTTTCTCACAAATAGAATGAGTTCAACTATCCCATTAAAATAATTCTTTTATTTCTAAGCATTTTGTAAATGAGGACAATTGATGTAGATGTATGCATCTACTTTTTTTTCAGGCATAGGCATAATTTTGCTCAGAAATAAAAAAAGCTATACCTCACACGGAACATTCTTATGCGGTTCTATTTAAAAAAAAAATCTAAAACTGGAATTCATACACAGCACACTGGATCCAAATGCAATGCGAATTAATCTCATCTTTGCGATTGCCTTTGGTCTTTGGTAATGTCTCAATGGCCAAGAATTCGAAAATCACCATAATAAATGATCGAAGTAATAAAGTATTAGCTTATGCTCATATCACATTTTATTCCATCGTGTCTTTTATGTCATGCGTATAATTTAAGCATTTTCTACCTAGTCTATTTGTCTTAAATTACGATTTCCATCTGGAACTTCTTCTTCTATTTCATTTCATTCTAGTTCATTTGATTTTGTGATCTCTCGCAATGAATCAAATTGAAAATTTCCATTCGAATTGGTGTTTCTTGCATTTATAATGTTTTCTATATCTATATTTAATACTATTTTTAGTGCTTTTGAACTTCACTCTCTCAGTTATGATTATGATTCGTAATGATTTCGACACAAACGAACAGTCACGCACACTTGACATCATTGGATGAGCTTAATGCAAGTTCAAGTTCAGTCATTTCATTGAACATCAGCAGCAGCAATAACAACAACAAAAAAGAGATCCACCCAACACGATACATTATGACGTTCTCATTTCAGCACTATTTCAGTTCGTAAACAAAGAACATCGAAAAACTGCGCAATGTGCATAAATGTACTATAAACCATTGTCGTTTCTATGCGTTCTAAATTTCAAGTCATTTAGCTTAATCAACGTTTGTTATGGTTGCTTGGTGCGAACCGGCTTTTGACCAAATCAAAATCCTCTAATGCAATCATTTCAATGTACGCGATTTTTAGGTCGATCACAGCACTTACCTTATTGAGCTTGAACTTTTATCGCTGTCATAATGTTCATTTTGTTGTTTGAGGCTGGTTTGTGGTTTGTGCCTCAATAAATATTGACGGTAAAGTGCACTGCTCTTCGAGTTTAATCAAAGTTGAATGAATTTGAATTTTGATTATAATGTTTATTTCATACGATATTTTATACAACCACAAAAAAATATAGAAACAAAAATTAAGTTTTTTTCTTGAAAAGAGTTCAATCGCATTTGACGTAGGTCCATATTGTTAGGCCTTTTAAACGTCACGCAATCAACCGAAAAAGATGTGACGATGCCCATAATGATGATCATGATGATGATGGTGAATACGATAGTATGGATAACGATATGGTGCAACAACTTGTGCTAGAGATGGATTTGGTATCAAAAATAATTGAGATTCAACCACCGGAAAACTGATCCCATTTCCGATAATCAAACACGCTATGATGGCCATTAGATTAAACTGTAACGCATAGAAATTGAATTGAATTAACATTTAATCAAATAACTTTTTACAGCGCTTACCAAAAATTTCCACATTTCGTTCACGATCTGAATAATATCTAAATTGTTTGAGAAAAATTCCAATTGATCCAATAGACAAGCCCTTATAAATGTGGATTCTTTCGAATTCGATTCACAACTGATTCCATTCTGATAACCGTCATTTATATTTATTGTTCTGAATGCCCTTTCCGTACACAAACGTTTCGCAACACTTATTTTGCGGTGACATTTTTTGTTCGTAAATGATGTTTTTTGTTTGTTTTCATTGAATTATTAAAATATACAAGAGTGTGAATAATGTATGCAAAAAAGAATCCATTAGTAATAGCTCATTCCAATGCACCAATTTTGTCTACAAAATGCCTGTTAATCGAGTGTTAAATTGTATCCCATCAATAGGTGTCTGTGCTTTATCCGCAAGTTCGTTGAAAATATTCATGGTTTTACATTTTCTTTTCTGCATGTCATGCTATTCATGAAAAAAATGTTTGTTTTGAAATGCCAAAATTGAAACTTTTTGATATCGACCAGTAAAATATTTGATTTTTTACGTAAATCATTTCCACTGTTGCTGGTTTTTTTATCATTTCTGATCAATCAGCGAATAAAACAGTGAGAGACATTTTATGCGATAGTCTGGTTTAAATGCGTATGTGTTTGGTACTATGCTGTGACGGACAAAGGGAAAATCCAATCTATTTCGTTCGGTAACCTGATTTTTTTTACTGCTTTACTGTGCGATACGTCAGAAAAAAAGAGTTCAAGTTCATAAAACCGCTTCGACACGTGCTATTGAGAGATGTGATAGTGCCTTCAGATTTGTGAATAATGTGTGGTTTTGTTTTTGAAAGTTTTTTTTTGGTATGGAATGCTATGGGTGGGAAAAAAGGACACACTTGAGTGCACTGTTGATCTGTAAATCAGGTTGGATTCAAACGTAAGAAGTAAAATAGTGTCAAACTTTCTTTTTACAAATAGATTTTATTGAATTAAATTTATAACGTATGTTATTGCTAATCTTCTGGTCAACTAACTCTCGGCACATTTTTATCCATGATGATGGTGTCCATGATGATGGTGACCTCCTCCATATCCTCCATATCCACCATATCCACCATGTCCACCATGTCCGCCATATCCTCCATATCCTCCATATCCCCCATATCCTCCTGAAAATGAAAAAAAAAAGTCATTCGTTTGAATATCCTAAATATAATAAATATGATCAGTTTTTTTACCATCATATCCGCCGAAGTTTTGATAACCCCCGTATCCAGGATAACCTCCTCCAAAACCTAATAATTAAAAAAGTAATAACATATTTTGTTAGGAAAGTCAACGAATTTCAAATTGTTAAGCATGCAAACAAACGTAAGTCTGTCTTAATCATCTTGTTCGATTTAAGTGACACATTTTGACACATATAACTTACCGTATTGATTTCCGAACCCAAATTGAGGGGTTGGATTTGCAAACGCAACCGCACAAATAGCGATCAAAACGAACAACAATAGCATCTATTTTTTGGTGTGCAATTTTACAATAATGATGTTTTTGGTAGAACAAATAAAAATGAATAAAAGAAAAGAATTGAAATATAATGAGTTAAATCACAATTAAACTTTTTTTTACACCAACTTCAAATTAATAACAAACAAAAACTCACTGATTTTGTCATTTTATTTGATGGATTTCTTTCGTTTAGTGAAACAATTTTGTTTTTTCAACAAAAAAAAGTTGTATAAAAACCGTTTTTGACTGCTTAAGAATCAAAACAAAAGTGATACTGTCACCGAAGATCCGATAGTCTTTTATACTAGTGGATTTTTTTTTATTCGGTAAAACGTAATTAGCGTTGTTTTGATGTCATTGGGGGTATATTACGTGGCTCCTTCTTTCTCGTCGGTTTTATTCTTTGCCAATATTATGACAGATCGGATGTAAATAAACTAAAAAAATTATATAATAAAACGAAAAACAGACACAGACACACGCACAAACCATTTTTTGCACACCAAAATATGGAAATACCAGCATAATTAATTATACATCGGAACCATTCACATAAAAATTCCAACAACAATAGCAACTGGCTCAAAACAGAATCAAAACAAAACCAACAACTTTTATCATGTACACGGTCAACCATGACGACCGGTATCAACGAATTCTCTGAATTGTCTCTGTATAAAATCAAAACTTGTGTCTGCTGACTCACACATCATATTGGTTGTATTAATGAGCAGAGATTCAACGGTAAATGAACATGGAAAACACGGCGTTAATGTCAACTTAATGCCTTTTTGGTGCATAAAATGAGCCCACATTTTGAAGGGAAAAAAACTTTCCGACAGACATTTTTTAATGAAAGCTAATCAGATCAGTATTTAAAACTGCGACTTTTGCTAAAATAAAAATTAACAAGCAACATATTACGTCGACTGGAGGTTTTGTATTGATAAATTAAATTAACAATAGATTTAATGTATCAAATGACGCAGTCGTCTCTGTTTGGTGTGTCTCTCATATGATCATACAGATACCAGAAATCCGAATTAAAAAAAATACGCATGAACAGCAACAAAATCAACCAAGTAATCTTGTTTAACTTGGCACAAGATCACCAAAAAAAACGGTGATTCCCCTCGAAATTGTGTTGTCAATAAGATGACGCTATAAAATGATTGTTACATCCGAGCTCAACTGGGATTGTCAAAGCCGTCATACACAAAATGATGTTCAGAATGTGATTGTCTTGTGAGCGAGTGTGGTAAAAAACCATAATGACCACGAAGTCAACGGCGTCCGTTCAACGGAAATACAAGTTTGTTTACACCAACCAAATGGTGCTTTCGTTTGTAAACAGTGACATTTTCAGAATATCATTCTTAAAATTGGTTGTTGTTGGTCACAACAGTTGCATTTATCTATATATTGTTTACCATTTTTGTGCATACGCAGCTCTGTTCCTTATAATTACAGAAATGAGTGTTGAAATCAATGCGCACTTCATACTGATTGAGTAAACTATTATTTATTTATTTTGAAGGGAGTACAAGTTATTGTTGTTATTGGAGTAAAAGTGGTTTTTATGTGAATTTATTGCATTGTATGCAATAATTCATGAATGACTTTTATTAAAATCATTCATCATTCATTGTCATTCATCTTCTTTAATTCAATTCAATCGCTTGCCAAATTTACCAATTGCATAAACATCCTGGACAAATCATTGTTGCAATAAATAAAATTGGCATTTTTTTCACTCCCCGGTCCGCCCTTTCTCTGCAATAACAAAACTAAACAATCCGTTTATTCAACGAAGAACGTGTATTTTTAGTGGTGCTTGTCGAAAACGATCAAAATGAAAAACGCTAGTAAAGACAGAGCCAAATAAAATAATAAATTTGCTTTAAATTTTATACTCAAATAATTTTAGTTTGAACGATCGTTCAATTCTAATCGTCAAATCTATTGTTTTTTTTTTTCAACAAAACGACGCGCATGGAAAACCCGAATATTAGGCCGAAGTAAATCACATTATGTCTAAATGCATATTTAAATAATTCGTTTCCGTAATAAATCTCCCGGTTGAGTTCTGCGAACTATAGTTCTGATGTCATAGAAAAAAATGATTTCAAACATTTTTTGAGTTTCAAAACGTTTAATTAATCATGAATTTAAGCGAACCGCGCAATATTCAGTAGTTTCATCATTTTTTTTCGATTGTTATCGCGTGTTGATGTTCTGAAAATTTATTCGTTTGAGTATGCTCATCCCTATCTACGCAAGGTGAAAAAATTATTGTTTCTTATCATCGCAGCAAAAATATAACAACATTTTTTCGTGCGTTTGGTTAAGAATATTAAGAATAGAAACCAAACGGTTTTGACAAGCCACTTGTTATGGATATGGAATGATATCCGCCAAGATTTTACATTTTAGAGGCCTGATGCAAACAAAATGCTCAAAAATCGTACTTCAAAAGTTGGCGTAAGATCCACATATTATTTTTATTTCCACTTGAGGCCAAAATCTTTCCAATCAACACTGTGTGGACTATTTTGAACATGTGGTTTGATTCATCCTTAACTACTCGAAAATATTCTTCAAAAGTTTATATATGATTTTCAAAAGCATTTAAAATTTTATCTTAATTTATACAAAGGACAAAGAAACATATTTGAAATTGATCAATAACCTACAAATAAAACAGAATACACAAAGTCCAGTTATATATATTTAACTTATGTTTTTTTTTTCCTTTTAATTAGTTCACTATAATACTGATTAGTAGAATAAAGGTGAAGTTTAAAGGCAAAAATTATCAATTCGTTTTCAAATCATGCACTTACTTCAGAAAAAAGTTTAAGAATTTATTGTTTTTTCTCTTCTGGCAACGGGAAAGATAATGAAAATTCAGTTACGCATTATAAAAAACTTAATACAATCAAATTGTACAACGTACATCTTTTGAATTTGTCCCGCGAGGTCAAAGACTGTTTAACGTGATACGGTTTTTTAACAATATTTATAAAAGATTTTTTTCTTTCGAGTGCAGCAACAAAATGCGGAGAGGAGAATACACAACAAACAAACAAAAAATGAAGCAAATGCACAGGCATACTGTGAAGCGTGAAAGTAGTTGATAGTCGATATTGGTGCGACTTTTTGCCAAATGCATAACGATCACCTTGAACTTAAGCTGAGCTGTTTATGTATTGATATCTCAAACTCAAACATACCGACCCAATTCATTATACATTTATAGCTGGCGTGATTAATCAATATAAGTCAGGTGATAAGACGTTTCGTCAGTTAATGTATAACCAATAATTTAATATTGAAAATTTATTCAAATAATATTCAAAATATGTACATTCATTCAATAAAATCGAGTGGAAATGTACTTAACTTTGGTGCGAGAGATGAGCGCAAGAAACTCCTAAATGGAGGCAATTTTTTTTTAATTTTCGTTGTGTTAAATCAAAATATGAATCACCGTAATATAGTTTTCAAATAAATTGATACACATCTCCAAATGCAAAAAATTGATTTCAATCTTTCGATATAGCATTTATTTAATATGCTTTTAAAAGACAAGATTGTATATCAAACGAAAGAGAAAGATTTCAAAAGCTTTATCGATTCCAGAAACTCAATTTCACATCTGTTTTAAGATCACTTTAATAACCACCGCCTCCTCTAACTCCACCGCCGAATCCACCTCCAGCGTTTGCACCCACACTGAAACCAGCATTCGCACCTGCGCCAGCACCAGCACCAGCACCACCTCCACCTCCACCAATGCCACTGCCTGCATTTCCACCAAAGCCTGCATTTCCACCTATGCTAAATCCTGCCGTTGACAATCCCAAATATTTATTTATTATTGTAATGCCATGCAATTTTTGCTCACAAAAAAGACGATAAAATAAAAACATAAAATCTGAAAAGACACACCTGCATTTCCACCGACACCCGCACCTCCACCAACACCGTTATCTGAAATTTCATGTATGTTAGATAGTGAATGCACAATAAATTTTATCAAAAAAATTACTCAATTGAGGTCTTGCATGAGCAAATGTTAAACCGGAACAGACTGTTAAAACGAATAACAAAAGCATCTTTTTGTTGTCCGAAATCGCAGGAAAATAAATAGAAATAAATGTTAGTATTTATCACAATTAATTTTTTTTTTTTTTAACCCACTGATTTTTTCATTTCAATTGGTTGAATGAATTTTTACGTTAGATTTTGTAGCCCCTTTGATTTGTCCAAGAATTAAATTGGAAATGATACAATTGTTGACATTTCAATCACTTTTATACTGTTGGCATGCTAGACAGAAATATTTTAATAAAATTCCATTACAGCGTGATTTTAGGTCCTCGTTCAAGTAATTTATAGATAGATCGAATGTCAATAAGAAAAATAATAATATTACTTATCAATAAAATTACGTGAAAACTCACAATAAATATCAATTTTCCACATGGTTAAACAAGCATTTAAGTTCAACATATTGTGCAAGTAAATTTAAAGAATTTAATATATTATTCTTATTATAATATATAAGTGTGGTGTGTCATTAACATTTTCAGATTTTTTACGGCTAATTCATGACGTTGAATATCAAACAATTGTTTCCTCGAATAAATTAATAAATGGTCCCGTAAATTCAATTTAAATCTATTTTAAAATCTATTACAACTACACTATTGAAATATATAATTATAATACCAACGTGAATAGAATAAACACCTGAATATAGGTAAACAAATATTTCGTTTGATAACTCCCGGTAAACTTGAACTGAAAAAAGCTTTGTGAACATGAACGCCTTCTGTTGACAAAATGACCATTTTGAATATGCATTTGAATTTGATAGGTTTTTCTATGTTGTAAAGTTCTACGAAATGAAATCGAAGCGAAATTTTCTTTCGTCAGCTTAGCTGATTGATGTATTTCGCATTTAATTTAATTGCGTATTGAAAACTATTCCATTTGTCTGATGCAAAAAATAAATAAATTCATAAACTCCTTTAACATGAATTCATTTAATAATCCTTGTTGGCCATGGAGACAAAGACACCGAATTCCACGAACATAACAATCTATGTGTTATATATAATAATCTAATCACAGAAAACAACAACAAAAAAAATATGATTGCCAAGTACGTTGATATCTCAATGTGTGTGAGCGTTGTTTGATTTGAGAGGCATAGAATTGTTGTTTATAATTTGTCACATTCAAAACAAATACAAATGGTAACACATGCGAATGGTTGATTGCATGTGACACTCTCGCAGCCAACAAACAAATATTCAAACAAAGCCAGATTTGCTATCAGATGCTATTGACTGCTTTTGATTTTAAATGCGCCGAGAATTCAATGACTTTTTCATTGAAAATCAATTTGAGTTTGTTTTGCTTTTGTATACTGCGTTGTGTTTTATTTTGTTATTTAATTATTTGATGTGATTGTACTTGATGGACTGTCTCGAAAATACATGTTTATCATACGACAAATTCTTTTGGTCATCTCTCGGGTCAATCAGTTGATTTTGTTATGCGAAACTAATTATGAAAGATGGCAAAGAAGTGAACTGAAACTGGATAAAAATGTTTGATGAATGCGCATTGTCACATCGTAGGCGAAACATTTGTTTTAGATTCACCTTTGGAAACTTTACGCGAATCAAAAATGAGTTATCGATTTTCGAAGATCAATAAACAGGAGACAAATGCGATTAATGTGGTCTTTTCGTTGATTTGTCTTCTTCTTTTTTTGTCTTTCAAACTGTCGACTTAAGTCTAGCTCTAACTACCATATCGTCTAATGCTCGTTTCACCTGATATCTTTTTCGAATGTTTATTTTAATACGAGCGTGCGCGCACGAGTGCCGACTATAACAAAGCTCAAAGCAACCAGTTCGATCAAGTGACATTGTTTGGCTTATTTGGCATCCGACACGAAGGTTGTTGCGGTTAAAGATGATTGGCCGGAATTGCACTTTGGCGCATAAGAATTTAACATTTTCGCGCTCGCAGCACATTTTTTTATTTTCTATCTCAATTAATGCACAATCATTTACTTTTCATTCATTCACTAAAGCGAACGTATCAGATAATTAAATGAAATAAATCAAATAGATAAGAGACTAGTGTGATTTTGTTCGATAGTAACAAAAATAGAAAAAAAGCAAATATTTTGAAAAATTCCGAGGAATTAAATAAAGTAGACTACATTGATAAGTTTAGCATGTGTGTGGCGCTTCGGGTTATATGAAATTTGCTTCGTCGCTCTTATTCGTTGCTATTTGACAATTTTTAAAATATTGAAATAGGCGGTCATACAACAAAAACTAGATAGGAATTTTTCTAAAAATAGCAACAAAACCATAATTCTAAGGTACAACGACGTGACACGGAAAACATATAATTTGTGACCAATTAAGTATAATCCATACAATAAAATAATAATTGTGATAAGATCGTACTCTCTAATTATTTGCAAGCCAAGTGCTTATACTGACACACAGTTCAATGCCATTCAGATGATTTTCATACATTTTTTCACCAAAATGTTTGCGGCGTTTCAATTAGAAAACGATGTTTTATTAATAAAATTATCTTCAAATTACGAAGGCACTGTGAGAAAAATCAAAGTGTGAATTGAAAAAGGTATGCAATAATTGGAGATTTAAAAAATAGGAAATTCCAATATGTATTTTGTGTGATACATATGAATAATTTGCGAAAATTTCCAATAGCACAACTAATATTTGTTTAACATTAATGCTTTTTTTTATTAGTTGACTCAAATTTAATGGTGTTTTACTTAATTTTCAATATATTAATGCTTTCGTTCTATGACTACCAATTGGTATGATCATTTCGTCGAAATATCATGTTGAGAGGTTTCAATGAAACATGTTGAGGTAAATCGCCGAAAAAATAATGAGCACCAGATTGTGGGGAATTCTATCTTTTTTCTAGAGCATGAGAATTTGTAAACAAACATTATTTTTTGGTAGAAAGTCAAATGTGAAAATAAAGGATTTTCGAGGAAATGAATGTAGCAAGGGAATATGTAAACGTTCGTACGAAATTGAATATTGATAAGAATGGATCATGTATTTTTTTCTTAGAAATGTATATGAAGGCACAAACAGACCCATTTGACTCATTAAGAGCATTTAATCGATGCGACAAAATATACAGTCGTAATCGGGTAATATTCGGGCCAAAAACAGACGGTAATCAGTTATTTTGTGCGTTGTTCTGATGAACCTTACGTACAATGCACTTCTAACGAAATAACTGATAAATTGAAGGAGAACGAAAACAAATCATAATCCAAAGGTAGTGTAGCTGGTTTAATGGAATTACCATATGAAAAGTACCGAATAATATAAATTTACAATTCATAAAAAATCCACGAGGGAATAAACTGTGACGAGCCAAGTGCACAAAAAAACCAAAACAAATAGCCGCCAAATTTTTCTACAGAAATACACGCGCAATAGAGGAGAGGAGAAAAAAAAGCATCACAGGCAAAACCAGGCAAACGAAATTATAGAAAGAAAAAAAAACAACAACAAAATACTCACAAACATTATTCCGAAATGGCGAAAAATTCCCCAAACAGAAAAAATACGCTGAATGATAATGGATTTCGTTTAAATAATTAACATGTGTTCTCTGAATTTTGCTGCTTTGGTATGGGTATCGGCTGTTCATTAACAGACATCGTGTGTTGTTACTATACGTGCGACCGGCTGGTGAACTCGTTTTGCACGAAGTGCTGTAATTTATGCTAGCAAACGGAGCTTCGTTGCATTCGGCATATTCTCCTTATATATACGAATGGAAAATTGAAGTGGGGCACATTTGGTATATAAGTACTGCATACCCGAACCGTATACGATTCATTCAAACATTTCAAGTCAAAACAAGCACATCACTCTTAGTACAGCGTACGTTTAATATATATATTTTTTATAACATTGACTTTGTAGTTCCCCACTTACTCACTCATACCAGTAGGCGAGTACATTACGAGAAAGCGGTGTTTTGAATTTCACAACATTGCGTTATTTTAAATAAATCACTCAACAGCAAGTAAATTTTGTGAAGAAAAGAAAACAAACAAATTATTTTGGAGTGAAAATTAGTGCCAAAAACGAAAACAAAGGAAATTGTTACGAAAAACTGTGCGAAAAATTGTCAAACAAAGGTGTTAAAGTGATTGAAACAGTGGCTTCAAGCAGTAGCAACAACAGCCCAGAACTAACCTACGCAAATATTTTAAAAGGAACATCACCACAAGAACAACCGAATTTGTTGTTTTCCGTTAAAAAACCAGAAACAAATATTGAAATTAACAAAATGACCAACGGAATTGGATGCATCACAAGCAACGCCTTGCGAAATGCCAAACAACAGGATCGTCTTATTGTTGGCTTAACGCAGGCTATAAAAACCCTATCAAATGATCCAGAAGATACAATGTTTTGTATATTGGCACAACCGTCACCAGGTGATAGTGCAGCACACATGCAAGTCATTTTACTCGAAGCCTTTTGCTATGAAAATGGTATCTATACCATTAAAGTCGACGACATGGAAAAATTGTCAACGATTGTTGGGGCACCAAAATTGGAAAACTGCGTGTTAATGCAACGTTTCAAGCATGAATCTCCAGACAATAATCAACCGTTAAAATTGAAATTCTTCGATTTGGAAGAAAGACTAATCGACCATTGCGAAGACTATTGGGATGCACAACATAAGCCAATTATTCGTTTGCCGGACGAGTGAACATCCAGTTTTCAATTTTGTGAATTGACAAAGTGCAAAAATCAACGCTTTCAATTAGTGAATAATATACTTTATTCGCATAACATGGATCGTGAAAAAAATGTATAAGAACATGCAGGAACAACGACAAATTGTGAAATTAGAGAATGCGCGTTGTCAAATGGGACGCGTTAATCTAAAGTGCTATCGACGATAAGGACAATAAACAATTTAAAATGAAAAAGACATTTAATTTATTTGGATAGTTTTTTTTTTGGTGTCCGGCCCAATAAGATCGTAAAAAGAGGCCATGAATTGGATATATTCTATTGATAAGTAACCGATAAATAGAACCAACGATAAATTGTAATTGAGTGTGTGCGTTAAAATACACCGGTTTCGCATACACCACCAATTTAAACCATCCATCGAATGGATTGCATCAGCTGCTTCGCAACACTTTCGACCATCGAACCATCCATCCAACGGCGGTTGATTAACGCAAGCCAAACAATATACGAAAAGTTAGTCTTCGCTCGTAAGACAACGAAGTGTCAACATCTATACACACCAATATATGCATAAGATATATATAACATATAAAATGATATTGTTACTTAAAAAAACCAGTTATTTTGTCAAATGATATAATTATAGAAAGAATATATGGCGAATATTTTGAGCAAAAAGAAATAGAAGAAAAAAAATTCATTTTTGAAATAATAACGGTAATAAAAAACATAAACAATTGTAAAAATGAAACAGCAACTATCGCAACCTGCGTCTAGCGCAAGTGATCATGTTCAAACATGTTTATAGCTAAAGCTCTTATAGCTTGTGTCATCATATATATTGTTGACATACTAACGAACGTCAAACGAAAAGTAGAAATGAAAAAAAGAGCAAAATTAGGCCGTTGCTAACGTTGCCGCACACGTTACGATTGTACGTGTGCTAAAAAAATTTCAATATCATGCACACGTTTTACAAAAATAAAAATTCTTCAAATATTTTCACACAGCAAATTCATGTGTGAACATGTACAATCACTACCAAGATAGAAACAAAACGAATACAGAGAATGTACAAGAAAAGTATACAGTGAAAGTAAGATTTAACATTTAGGCAAATCTGTAGTAATATTACTTGAAATGTAACAATTATTTTTGGTATTACATAATTGATATTTTTTTCCCTTTTGTAAAAATATTTTTAGAAAAATGTTCAATTGTTAAAAGAAAAAAATGATTTTAAATAAAATTTAACAAAAACCAAAAGATGACAAATTATCTTTTTTCTGAACAAAACAAACAAAAAATAACTGTTTTCCTAGGTATACTTTCGCTACTTTGAGTGCGAAAATTTTCATTGATTTCTTTTCAATTTTTGGCTCGCACAACCTTGATACTTTTATGTGGTGAAACAATACAACAGATCATTAAACTATGTAAAGGTAAACCTCGAATGAAATCGTTGGCACCACGATTTTCAGACATTCATCCATGTTGGACATGCCTACGTTCACACTCACTGGAACTGGATACATATTTCAAGCAGAGAGGTCATCTAAATGCTACGTGCCATGCAGATCGTTTTCCATTTATGGAATTTTGAATAATTTGGTGACCACGTGATTGAATGCATACATTTGACGCAATCAAGCATAACATACATATTGGATGCGGGCTTGAACTGTGTATTAGTTTTCATTTTTATTATCTTCATTGTACTTTGCATCATTGCTTTGACTCTCTCATCTACGTGTAATTCAATTGGGGGACATTCCAACTAAATAAACTGCTTATCGACCACTGACGCCTTTTACAAAAAATTATTTCTTTTTATTCTTCGTTCTGGGAATTATTTATGCAAAAATTCGTCGAAAAAATACTGATAACCGTTGTTCTCTGTGTGTGGAGATGTTTGATTTTAAATCACTTTACAACAACAGCCATTCTCTAAAAAATCACATTATTTCACTTTTTCAAAACACTTTACATACGCAAAAAGTGTTTGTTTCTTGTTATTATTTAGAATTGAACGCTCTAGAATAAAAACAACGTACAGAATGGTTGTTATATCAAAGCGGAACACGGCGTATTACAACAACAAATCTATGTTAAAAAAACGCTGTTTTCCGCTTTGATAGAACAACCATTCAGTACGTTGTTTTCATTCTAGAGCGTTCAATTTAAACTTTGCGAATTACCATATACAATTGACATAATATACGAAGAATCACATAAAGTGTGCATATGGGCAAGAGGGCAAGAAGAAGAGATTGACAAGAGAGAAAACAAAATGCAAAAGAAAAGACGAAACAGAAATCCTTATCAGACCAGTTGATTTGGAAATGGGTCTGAAACGCAAATGTTTTTTTTAAACAATAAAAACAAATTTCAAATTTGTAAAAAAAGCATTTCCAGTTTTTAAGGTAAAATATCGTTGAAAGGGCTAAAGTTAACAAAGGCGAAACGCCGAACATGTTATCGCACACATTCAAGTTCGATACTTGACAAATAAAACTAATTACTCAAATCGTGTGAAAAATAAACCTTTTTATGAATTTCAATTTTTCAAAATAAACAACTTTTTTTATTATCTCTTCAACAACGATGTGGACGTTAAATACGGCATAAAACACAAACAATAATGACCAATAGATTTAGCCGATAAAAGATAAGCCAAAGAAAATCTAAATTGTCATTCTTAGACCACTTTCACCTTATCTCAGTCTATAAACATAGCTAAACATTTATTATATATATATATATAGATTGTAGTATTGTTCCGGGAAGAAAGGCCATAAACTGATTTAACAAAGATAAACTTGTGTATTTTTCTCAAGAACTCTATTTATTTTATTTTTATCAAACAAAAAAAGAATGCCTTCATTAAATTAGCGAAAAAGAGACTTTTCGAAAAGTCATTATATGCTTGTTTTGTTCCTGTTCAAGTATCCACGACTAATTATATGTCATGTACGCACATGTTTACAGCAAATATAAAAAAACAAAAACAGAATAGAAAACAAGAAGTTTTAAAGTGTGGTGCAAGATTCTTGTTTGCTATGTATTTCAATGAGATCGACTGCCGCGTGTGTCGTCAATACCTCATTCTCATCGACAGGTCATATAAATATTTTGTTCAATGATTTTTATCGCCTTTTTTCCCCATGTCTATCTATATATTACGGCTAAATATTTTTGTTTCTATAGATTTTGTTTATCGTACACACGCCGATGAAGTCGTTGTGGCTGCGTTGTGTTCAAAGGTTGTCCGGAGAACAAAAATCGTCACCGTTATCTATTTGCCAATTGTCTCTTGTTTATTAATTGTGAATTGAGAAAAAAAGGAAAGAATTTTCCCTCTAATTTAGTTATCGGTGTGAATTTCACTGAGAAAAAAAACCCCATACATCTAGATGATATACAAGAATGCATGTAATGGGTCACGAACTATTCGATAGTATTTTTGTTTGGCTTGAAACAGGCGACGACAACAATTTAGTTATCGACGTAAACAAACAAAATTTTGTTTTGTATTTTCCAGTTAAATTTTCCATTCATCTGCATTTTGGAATTTTGTTGATGCGCGCCTGAATGGAATTTTTTTTCGTTGTTCGCCCAAAAGAAAAACAATTCAATTACTATCATTTACAATTCGATCTCTTTTCCCTTTTGAACGATAATTCTCTGTCTACTTTTACACGTAAATGCATAAGTACCGCACGTATGGTGCACGAGCACACCATATATTTTTTTTACTTCAAAGTAAAGGAAACCAGATAAAAATTATTCAATGTCACTGCTACAGTCATTACATATGTATATGATTAGATGCAAATTATATGGCTTAGTTTTTCTTCCCATTTTCATTCAAATCCAACATGTTCACGATCAAGGCGAATAAATCAATTAAATAATAAGTCAGCAACGAATATGGAATCGAATTGAAATGAAATCTCAATTCATGCAATTGATAGTGATCAACATGTGCTAAATTTGTTCGATTCACAATATTTTTTAAATGCAGCCTATTAAAATATAAAACGGCGGGCATTGAACAACATAAAAAACGCCACGGTGTCGATTGACAGGAGAAAAAGAAAAACAGTTTCAAAGAATTGATGATATTCGTTTTATGAATTTAATAAAAGCCTGAATTCATGAAATGTTTGTCGCTTTCGTTTTCATAACGGATCGGTTTCTTGGGTCAAATGGAATACACTGCCGTATAGTAACAAAACGACGACTTTAGCAAACTAAAATCAATCGAACCTTTCTTATCTAATCTAATTTAGCAAAAGTGTTCTAAAACACATTATCGACAGCCCGTTGTTAATTGAAACTGCTATTAGTGTCATCTTTTAACCGTTCATTTTTTTCGGATCATTTGTGTTGACATTTTCAATTCGACACACATACCACACAATGTATATACTTAATCATGCGAATTAAATTTTTACCCATTTACACCTCTTTTTTATTCTCTATTATTCGCATGGACTTTGTATCGTCATGCATGTCAAAAAAATGTATGTCTACGGTGTACAGATTTTAATATGCTTTGATCGTACAATTTCATGGGCTTGTTTCCACGAAAAAGAAAGAGAAATGGGACGTTCAATGGACATATGTGCGATAAATCACGTATTGAGACTATAGACAAGAAATGTGACCAACTTGCACAACAGTCCACACACGTCGAAATAAGTTCATGAAATTAACGATGATATACAAAAACTAAAATGTTACAATCGCTTAAATCTCGATTGCATATGAACACACATTTTTTTAAATCATTTTGCATCAATAAAAAAAAAAAACAAACAACGAGATACAGATGACTAGACAGTTTTTGTGTTTTAACCAATAAATATTTGATGAATATCATGGTGATAACGAATAAAAAAGCGTTACACGAGGAAGGTCAACCAAATAAATATGATAAATGTGTGAGTGTTTGATAGCGGCTAAAGTGTTTACCTCTTTATCGGTATCATAAGGGTGCAAGAGCCGCGCACTGCTAGCTATAAAAACAGCGTTCATTCACAGTATTTATATATCAAACTAATTTGTGTGAAACGATTCTGAGAATCCAGTTTAGAATTTGCTATTTTGAATAGGTCGATAATCGATATAATAGAAATCAGCAACAACAAAAAATAGTTCATCTATCTATACGTATAACTGGCATCATGTGGCGATAAGATTTTGACGGCGAGAACAAGTTTTTATGTCCGATTTTGGTAATGAGCCGAAACGATTTCGATGACGTTTAATTATCATTTGGGAGGCGCTGCATGAAAGATCAATGACGAAAATATCAGTTTCGATGACGCAAAACACAGTCGCTTTCGTTTTTAAACGTTTTATTATGTGGACATAGTTTCAATTTTTTTTTCTCAGTCTACAGAAATCGAACGACGAGAAACGAGATTTAAGTTGGGTTTTCTCGTGAATGGCTATTTACTACTTCATATTGGATTTCATTGAAAACCGAGAATGCCACGATGACGTATAAGAACAAGCGCGCCGATGAATCACGCACATTAACAGGTTCATATATGAGAAATGTGTGAAAGAGCAAAAAGGCGAAAGAGAGTTTACAAAAAAATTCACTCTCTTATCTCTTTTTTGCCAATGTTGTTTGGTTCAACGACATAGTTTCAAATAATTGAACGCGCACGGATGTATATTTTCGAAGAATAACAAAATTGAGAGCGCCAATCCATTCGGGGATTTCCCATATCATCTCTCTGTGTACAATTTACACTCTCACATTCTTCACAAACACAATCGCACCGCATGCGATATATTCACTTCGAATAACTCTTTGCAAAGCGATAGCATTGCAATATTACCGAATATGGAATATAAAACACGCAGAACGACACACACAGAGAGAGAAAGAGAGAGAGGAGAAGACATAGCAATGTCGACAGCTTTTGTTGTTATTCTTGTTCGTCGAAGCGAACGATTGGAAATTACACAAACGTTGAATATTTTGGAATTCGTCGCATTGTTATGCACAAACAAAATAATGACAATCATTCAGCTATCATTCGACCAAGTACAAAATATACACGCCCGTAAACTGAACACAAATCGACGGAATTCAGAATATGTATGCGCGTAGTACAAAATATGGCTTTTGACATGATAATTATTAGTCTCATGGATAAAATTCCGCATTGAATATAAAAAAAATAAATACAAGAAAAACTAAACGTCGCAAATCGGTTGAACTTTTATCATCGACAACTTTGATGCAAATTCAAGTTTATTTCCGAATTATACGCGCTCAAAAACACCATTTTTATTCTAAATTGTATATATTTATAGATATACAATGGGTTAATGAAAACATCCATTATGTGTGTGAAACGTGATAATACCGCCAAAAAGGCGTTTGCACTCTTTTTAACTATCACTTTGTTACCGTCTTCAATAAATATAAATTTAACGTTGTACTCTTTTGTGACGCAAAACACTTTGTAAATTCTTCGAATTCACTAATTTATGTACCACACACGTTGAATTCCTTCCTTTTTGCATATTCCTGGAAAAAAAGTTTTTGGGCAAAACAAATGCTGAAGACAAGCATGGATAGCATTTGAAATTGAAACTTTCTATATTGGCATTAAACGACCGCTAGAAGTTATATTACATCGATATATTAGACGACTAGACACTTTAATAGATAAGCGCTTTATTTCACTGGTTACAAACATTGTCTTGAATTACATAATAAAAAGTAATTAGCTGACATAATATAATAGATACCCCCTCTCTCTCTCTCTATTTACCGATGCGTATCGCTCATTTCAAGTTGCAAAGCATAACCGAAGATTTAGAGGGGCTTCACGTGAATGTCAACAATATAATACAAAAAGAAAATAAATATTCTTGATAAAAGTGGGTGAAATAGCAGCAACATTGTTCCAAAAGAGAGTACATAGAAAATTATGCGCACGTGGTATAATCTACCCTTTTTCGTTTTAAATTTTATATTAATTGCCAGATTAATTACGGCACTTTTCGCACAATACACATACACAATAAAATGTTGCAGTTTTCACGTGAAATGGCGAGCACATGGCTTTCAAATGTCTTTTATTCGGATGGGTTTTAAATAGAACTAGTAATTTAAATTGCTATTTATTGAGCTGCATTTAAAAAAAAATTCCGTTTCATTTTGATCATAGCCTTCAAAAGATGAATACATAAATAATATCAGCCTCGTGCTTGCGATCATATTCCGAATTTCATGCTCTCTTTTTCTCGAAACGTTAACCGTTTTAGAATTGTAAATATATCAAGATTCAGATATAAAAAAAATGAAGACAAAAGCTTAAAAATAAAGTGTACAAAAAAAACTTCTGTCAAAGTATTTGTTGCGGGAAGAGAAATTTTTTTCTCTTAAAATTGCGTTCGACACAAAATTGATTCATTACACTTGCATGGACTTTAATATTGTTATGTTTTATTGAGAATATATAAGTATAACATCGCATGTAAATTGGCGCGCATTGTATAATGCGCATTGCATTTGAACTTCAACATAACCGTATGACGAATTGTCGATTCTAGGGATTTTTTTTATGGAACTATTGTTTATGTTCTATGTATGACTCAACATACGTTGATACTTTGATTTGTATTTAGTACAATTGTTGCATAATATCTATATGATAAAAATGCTGGAAGTAAAGACAAAAAGACAAGAATGTGGACTTCCTCTTTTTATTGAGTAATATTGATCACTATCTCTCTCCATCTCCGTCTGCCTCTCTAGCTCTCTATCACCGTAGATATTTGTCTACATTCATTTGGAATACGAATAATGGATTGTAAACAGTTGTTATGTAGCCGGCGTGTTTTCAAGAAGCACCACATGTTTGTTGTCATCTATTGAAAATTGAAATGACATGACTTCGATAAGCCACTTTTGTCAAGGTGAAGATCTGTGTGAAAATGACTCTTATTCACATACTTCCTCACTATCGATCTACATTTAAAGTGGTAGACATAAATATCGTTTGTAGTTCCTAGTTTTAAGTGCAAACAATATACATAAAAGCGTAAGTATTGCGATTGTGTGCATCAAAAGCCATTATACTTTGAGTGGAGTACAATATAGAAAAAAAAAATATCCATAGCATTTGGATGATAAAAAACAGGGTAATTGAGCTGATAGTTAATAGAAAAAGTGCACTAGTTGGATAACCATGCACATAAGAGAGTCTATAGTTTCGATTTGCCCACACAATTTGCATCAAAAATCGATGCAATTTTTTTTAGTTATGTCTAGTGCAGTATTCAATTGTCAGGAAATTGAATATGAGCGGAATACGTGATAATCTAATTGTTGAAGTAGCTTGTATCGTTCTTTACCTTTCCGCATGGGCGTTTTTGTCCTAATTTAATTAAGTGACTCTTGAATTTATGTTACCTTTTCATTTTTGGAAAAACAATGAAAATTTACATATGCATTTACATGTGATCCATTGAAGTTGGCAATGTTATTATTTCAAATATTGATGAATGTGATGTTTTACCAAAAATGGTTTTCACACGATTCGAGGACTAAACAGTAATTGTGTTTTTTTTATTGTTCAAATGGAATTTAAATAATGTATTCGATATTTTTTATAAAAAGACTAGACAAGTAAATGGGAGAGAAACAGCGATTTAAATTCGTATATTTGAAGAGTTAATCAAGACAATTTATTCTTAGTTTCTTTATTTTTCGTATTGATGAATTCGTCACATGCTCAGGGTCATTTGATGATCTTGTTTTTCTCTCGTTCAATTAAAATTAAACACATTCAATTGCTGTTTTTACTTTTTCCATCTAAATTGAATTCTTTTATTCATTCCAGTTTCTCGATATTTTTATAAATATTTCAATTTTGTCTTAATGTAATTTGAGCTTAAATTAAATGCAAATTTACGAAAATAACAGAAGAAGAAAATAAAAATCCAGTAAAAGCATAACTAAACACCTGAATTGAACATGTCGAAATTCACAGTTCTTTTGTGTGAGCGACAAACGATCAAAACAAACTTCGAATGAAAATAACACCATTGGCGAATTGAAAAAAAAAAACAACATATTTATATGTATACAACAGCAATAGCAACTTGTTTAAAAATAGATCAGTTTGAATATGTATGGTATTGTGTTTTCGTTTGCAATTTTGTATAACGCATTTGATGCATTTGCCTAACGTGTTCAATGCAAAAATTTGGGTTGTACATTTGATACTTTAACGTTGTGACACTTAATTCAACGTAAAATTTAAACAAGAGAAGAAAAAAAAGCTTACAACGAACGAAAAAAGTTACTACAGTAATAAAATTGTTTTACGACGAAGTTAACGTTAACGAAAAAAATGTAGCCCTTAAATGCGTTGCAATCAAATAATGTGAAGAAAAAAAAACCGTTTTTTTCCTACGTGCATATTTTGTATCGCATTTCAGTTTATTGCCATTTCACATCAAGTCAGTGATTTTTCACAATTATTTTTTGTCTAATTTCAGAGCGGAACCCTCGTATACGGTCATATATAACACATTTATTTAGATTAAATTATATATATTTAAAATCTATATTTAAGCGATTTTTTCAATTGTTTTTGCATATTTCATTGAAGAATTACGTATGTATCTGCGATGTAGCACGCATGGGACGCGTGAACAATTAAAATCATGTTGTTCAGATTCGGCGCAGTTGGAGAATTTCACACAGTGAAAAAGTGATAATTGATTTCCAAATGAATCGAATTGTTCATTTGAAATTGATGGCGATGACGATGAAATCAGATTTATTCATGATTCCGGTAATTTAACTATGCAATAGTCGGCACTATGCCAAGAATTTTCACAGAAATTCACCAAAATATCCTCTTCATTGGAACCAGGTCCGGTTCTTGAGGTGGTTGCTGCTTTTGCATCATCATCATTGTCGGTGTCCGGTGTGATATTGTTATTATTTCCGGTTGTATTCTTCCGTATCAAAACGCATGTTTCGTCCGAAGTGAATGTACCCAAAACGTGTGCCAATTTTCGTCCGCTATCCACTTTAATGATATAGATGCCATGTTCGTAGCAAAATGCTTGCAGCAATACCTCGTGCATGTGTGTGGCGCTATCACCACGCTTTGGTTCGGCTAAAAAACAAAACTGCGCATCTTCGGGTGTATTTGATAACAGCTTTATTGCATCAGAAAAACCGCTTGTAATTCGATGTGTATTTTTTGCCACCGATAAAACAGTTTGAACAATTTCACCGATCGGTTTTGTTGCCATCGATTCGCTATGGCTCTTATCGCATTGCACCATTTTTTATACTTATTTCTTCAGATAATTTCGATGGTCTTTTTTTCAAAAAAAAATCTCGGAAATTTTCATAAGTTCTGAAATACTTACTTCGATGATTTTTCGAAGAATTTTTTGACTTTTGTTTGTCTTTTTCGTTGTTGAACAAATCGAAAAACTTCAACTTCGACAATCACCAGTTGTAACGGCTTTTAATAGGCAAAGGCAACAGCGTAAATAAAAAGCCACCTGCTCAATATGCAAACAATTTCCAACTAACATAATGGATTGGAAACGTCGCCACCAAACCATATAACGATAAAATAAACGGAATTGTCGGGGAACGGTTGTTACAAACTATCGATACGCTATATATCGTAACATACTCGTGCGATGTATACACCTTACTTCTTTTCACAAACAATACCAATACTATTAATTCTCCCACTCTGCTTTTTTTTATATTTCATGAATCGTGCGCCACGACAATGTATGCATTTTATTCATATTAAATATGTGTACCGCGTCCCGATATCAACAATGAAATCAGATAAATTGAATTTGCCCCACTTGTCGCTTACCGATCTTATTACTTGGATACACTGAATGTCAGAGAAATTCATGTTTATTATCATTGTATTATATGATTCGTAGAATGCAGTACATCTTGCGTCGATATAAGTACGAATTAACCGTTGATCATGGGGAATACCGGAATAAATGCAAAAGGACATGGCAAATTATTTTAGAATAATTTCTATAAATTCGAAGAAAATATTTATTTTTATTTTAGCGAACAATAGCGACACGTGAAAATTTACCGTTACATTTGTATAAAGAACAGCATATACAACTCAAAGCATTGTAATGCACATTCATGTCACATGTTCAATTTGTTATGTATGTATTGAGGAAAAGGCGTATTTAATTGACCTTCACATTGGAGGTTATGAATTGAAGTTTTTTCCATAATTTGACCCATTTTATTACAAAATGTATGAATATCTAATGGTAAGTATTTTTCTCATCTTCTAATCAATCTCTTGAGGTTGTGAATGAAAATCTTGTGTAGCTTTTTTCCACCCAGAACATTGAATTTGACGGATTGGTATCGAATTTAACCCTCTAATGCATTAATTTTTTTTCGACATGAGACTTATTTTTCTATGATTGTTTTGGTTTATAATTCCTTAAAAAAATAATCGAAATTCAAAAAATCGCATGGTTTTCTCAAAAAATGCTACTGACAAAATTCGAGAACAATCAAAACCATTGTTTAAACTGCAGTAAAACTGCTATAAACAAAGAAAATGATAATTTTTTGTCAAATTTCTGTTTTCGAGTACAACCGTGTTTATAATTAAACAACCGATTTACATCCAGTTGTCAAATGACCGGAAAATGAAAGCCTGAACCCTACTGAATGTATTTTAATTCATAAATAAAATCTTTTTTTTTAATTATATATTTTAGACAATAATTTATACACCATGTCCAAAGGCAGGGCTATGCACTAGAGGGTTAAAGAACTGTTTACCGAAATAAAAAGGGATCGAATTTTCAATTGACAAGGCATACATTTTTCAGACTTTGGAATCCAGAGTAATCATACGACACAAAAACCTAATAAATGGAATTAATGAATGTTATAAGGTTTTCTTCCATCTATACATATTTAAATGTAAAGCTTTTCAAACTTTGGCAAGCTTCAAAGCTTACATCTTGCAAAATGAAATGTTTTTTTAGATCATATTAAGTCTTGTTTTTATTCAAATCCAATATTGAATTTATATAGAGGAAAAGTTCAGAGAAAATTGATGTTCGAACTAAAACTTGACACTTTTCGAAATATAAAATGAAATGGAACTTAATCTGAATTAATCTTTGATTGGAAATCCATGAAATCCCAAATTTTTTCGCAATTCTTATGAACTGGCTATCTATAGTGTAATGCGAATGGAAATCTGGTTTTCGTAAAAATCACAGTTGTACCACTGCATTGTTAAACATATCAGAGAGTATCAGATGCGCTAAATCGTAAAAAAGCTCTAATTTCCGCCTCATTAGACATTAAGAGTGCATTTTCCTCAGTTTCTCATGATGCCCTTCTTCTTAAAGTTTGCGAATCATACGGCTTCACCGAAAACGCGTTGAAATTAGTAAAGTTAATTTATAGTAATATTAATCAAAAAGTCAAAGTGGGCGAATTTGAGGCCGACTTCATTTCTATTCAAAACGGAGTTCTTCAAGGTAGTAATTTCGGCCAAACATTCTTTTCGATTTATTTCAATGATACTATCAATGTGCCTGAGCATTTAACTGGCCACTTATAAGCTGATGATTGTCAAGCACTTCTCGCTATATCTGATTTTCATGAACCCGATCACAAAAAATGTGATCCCAAACGGATCCGATACCAAACTCATCCGATCCCAGTTCAATCTTAGATCAGTTTTTTTGCAGAAAACTAAGTTACCCAATGTGATCCGATCACGAAAAATGTGATCCGATCACAAAAAATGTGATCCGATCAATAATATCATTTTCAATAATTGCGATGTATAAAATTTTCTATCGAATATAACACATTTTCGAATAGTTTCGTTATATAGAAAAATGAAAACTTTTATTTTCACTATAGAAAAAACTATTATATAAGGATCTCAAACGGATCCGATTCCAAACGGTAAAATGATAAATATTCGAATAAATTCCTTATTTTGAAATATTTACTATAGAAAAAACTACTAATGGCTCGCTATATGGATTGCTATGGCCCCAGAGCAGCGAAACAGACAGCGACGCGCACCGACTACATGCACAAATGTGAACCTTCAAAACCTTCGAGAGTTTGGAAAAATATTGAAAATTGTCGATTTGGCAGAGGGGCATGTGAATTGAAAAAATATTAGTTCGGAAGGAGGTATTTATATGAAGGTTCAGTCAATTCTAGGTACTAAAAGTCAATAGTATATAGCGCTCGGAATCGGATCTGTTTGGGATCTGTTGGGATCCGTTTGGGATCCGTTCGGGAACCGTTTAGGATCCGTTCGGGAACCGTTTGGTATCCGTTCGGGATCCGTTGGGATCCGTTGGGATCTGTCGGGATCCGTTGGGATCCGTTGGGATCTGTCGGGATCCGTTGGGATCTGTCGGGATCCGTTTTTTTAACAAAATTAGAAGAAATGGTGAGGAACTAGAAGAAATGGTTTGTGCATTGGATAAATTTCCACTATTGTATATTAAATAAGACATGAACCACCACACATTTTTATTAGTTCGATGTTTATAGGATAGATACAGCGCCATTCAATGTCTGACAACTATACTTGTCCTATGGTCGATTATTTGTCATATTGAATTTTTTTATCTTTAATCCGATCGTCGTGAAACTTAATTTTCTGCCAAAAAAATGATCTAGACAAAATTTCATGA